ATATCTTTGTTTCAGAAATGTTCAGTTGTTTTACTATAGGTAAGAAGATCTCTGGCCAGAATGAACAATAAACGATTGTGATTGGATTAGGTTTTCAGAGCAAAGATAACATTACTAAAATGTGTTTATTCATTCTAGATGGTAACCTGTCTCTCCTTAAATGTCAGTCGGCCTTGGCAAGAACGCCTCCATCTGCACCATTTCATTTCCTGAACATTCTGGGATGTTCAGAATGTATATCAAGCAACCAAGGAGGACTTAAAAGGTAAATAAATAAAATGGAGGCAAAATAATGAGAAATTTGAGTGCCGTAAATTACGTAGTAAATTTTTCTTGTATAGGCTTAACCAACTGTTAAAACTGAAAAGGATTCCATGAGCCTTTTAGTTTGTAAAATTATATTTCTACTCTTTAGAACCACTTTTCACATTTATAATAATATGGCATTTTTCCCGCTTACGTTAGAAAAGGCATTGAATGTTACAGACACTTACAAACTATAAAAATGACAATGTCATTGTCATTTCCTTTGAAGTAACATGTGGAAAATCACTATTGCTTTTTTTTTCACTATGAAGTAGTTTGTTCTCTTCTCTTCCACCTTATAATATTCGTTATATATTAACTTATATTTAATGTATTTAAGCAATGATAGATGAGCTACTATGTTGGTTAAGTAAAAAAATAGAAGTTTAGCTCGTGTAAATGTCTCCAGTGATTTTTAAAAATCCATTTTCCCTCCAAAAAGTTTCCTATACTAACCACAGAGCAGAATATATGTTTCTGGCTTACAGAAAAAAATACACTGGCTAATGTGTTAAAGTATCATATGAAACGCATCTTTTATGTATAGAGATTTTATTATAGATTTTACATTTTTACATTGTCTCTCATACTCAAGAATCAGACTTCAGACTTGAGTGTCACTCACACATACAGTCATATTTGATTCATGCCCATTGCCAAATGCCAGGCAGTTTTAAAGAATTTAGAAAAGTAGCGTTAGCTGCCAATACACACTGGCAAGCTTTTCAGAATGCTTCCCTGGAAGACGCTTAATTCAGGCTAACAGGCCTAATCCACCACTACTCTAAATGCTTTACTTTATTGTTACAATCAAGATGAAAACGTAAAATAATTTTCCCTGACTACCATCGGATACTACACATGAGTCATTTTAAAGAGTCCTTAAAGCATGGTTTCTTAACTGAATAAGCTAAATGTATGGAATGTTTATATTTAAAATTCAGAGGAAAACCTAGTTACATGTAACTGATTAGGGACAGGTACATCACATACAATACATATTAAGAAAAGTCCAGGAAAACACTGCCTCCTGATGCTAAAAAGGAAAATTTAATTATTTTATTTCCAATTCAATGTTTATTTGAAAGACAATGTATTACTGTTTCCTTGGATTTCCTCTGTGATTAAATCTGTTATAACTATGCACTTAATTGATTAGTTTTATTCCTGACTGGATAATTTCTCAGAGCTGAGTCATTTCATAATGTCTTTTCCACAGCTTTCCAATATCAATGGGATATAAAAAGTCAGCCCAAATATTTCTAAAGTAGCTTTATATACTTAAGCCACTAAATTGCCCTATGGTAACAATAAAAATAATATTTTATCATTTGCATGACCCTGGAAATGTGATCTTCTAATTGACCCCAAGAGTGTGTGTCCCCTGCAGTCCAACACTGCTCTTTGGTGCTATCCCTCACAATCTCATCATGCCCTGAGGTGCCCTGCTGTCTCAATTGCCTTGTACTAGAAACGTCAACAGTAGCATCCTTCTGACACGGTTGCAGGACCAGCCTACCTCATGTGCACTGATCAGTGTGGATTAACAAGCGGTCCCATTAGTCACCAGATTTCACAGGCTCCCACCTTCATCATGAGACCTCAGCCAAATGCAAAGTTCTCCTCCAAGTACTTCTGGAAGTCCTCAGCGAGTAACTTACCTAAGAGAGCTTAACCAGGGTGACTTACCCAGGATGACGCTCCCTATTGTTTCAGGTGTGATTGTGGCATTACTGACATCAGTGTCACATCCCGCTAACTAAAGGTAGACTCCATGAGTGATTTTCTCATCAGTTTCACATCAGAATCATGGGAGGGAAGTGATGCTGGTCCAGCTGGGCTCTGTGACACACCCGCCAACACCTACACACACACACACAAGCACGCACAATGCTTTTGCAAAGTGAGAAGGCAAATTCTTCATCTCTCTGTGTCTTGTTCTGTTTGGAGAGGAAAAAAGTGGTCCCACAGTAGGTGTGCTTGGGGCCCCAAGGTGTCACAGAGTTTACTAAGAGAGTTCTCTCACTCTGCACAATTTTTTTCTTGTTTCTTTTTTTTGTCCCCTCCCAGATGCATATGGAGTGTCAGGATCTCTATGTCTGATGGGATTTCATGTAGTAATCCCTTTAACAGACCAGTCCACATGGTAACCTCTTCGTAAATTCCTTTAATATCTTTTTGTGATCTAGATTCTTTTGTATTCACCACCACAACAAGGCCCTATAATGTTGGGGCAAGAAGCAACCAACCCAGTCCTCATATAAATTAACAGGTATAGATAAATAGTTTAAGAGAAGGGATTCACCCAGCAGCACTCACCACAGCTGGGATCAGCCCCCATCTCCATTTAAAAGCTTTGACTTTTTCTAAGTGTCAGTTCACCATTACAATAGCAATAAAAAGTAAGAATAGGTAACAGTCTCAACAAGTATATAAAATGACTCATAAGAAAAGGAAAACATTTACTACCAGGCACTTGGACACATCTCATTAATCTCCACCACAACCAGAAGAGGCTCAAATTTTTCAGCCCTATTTTACATAGAGGTTCAAGTTCACATAAATATCCAAACCAAGGAGAAGCCACGAGCTCTAATACCAGATCTGAAGCTTTTTCCCACATAGAATGCTGACTTGGGTGTTCAGAGAACTTCCTGACACGGTGAGGCTGAGAACATGATGAGCATTGGCCTGAGAAGGGGCCATAGAATATTTTCTCTCTCTAGTGCCCCGCCGTTTAATGAGCACCTATTTTGTGCTGGATTCTTGACCGCTAGCTCATCTCATCGTGCTAACAATGCCTTGAAGCAGATCTCACTTCCACCCATTTACAGATGCAGAAACCGAGCTCAAGGGGCACAGCAGGTGAGCTCTCCACTCCTCAGCTTACCTTTTACAGGATGAGGATATAAAATCCACAAGCTTCATATCCTAAAGGAATCCAGGTGCTGTTCTTTAAAGCATGATGGTAAATTGAAATACATACAATGGCACCACGTGGTACAAAAAAAATATTAAATAAATAAATAAATGGAAATGTGGAACTGTTGATGGAGCAGAACATACATCTGAAAATAATCGTTTAGAAAGCGTTATATGCAAAGACAGAGCCATGCATTTGTTTTCACCTCAGTGTCTTTTGAGAGCCCTGTCTTGATAAAGATACAAAACATTGTTAAAATAGCCAGGAGGTGGTGTCATCTTGCTCATGGGATCCTCCGCCCTTGCAGCAGCATTTGTTGCCTACTTCTGCAGTAACAAATTATCACAAGCTCTGTGACTTCAAGCAACAGAAATTTATGGTTTCACAGTTCTGCTGTGAGAGGTCTGCTGTCCCGGTTGGTTCCTTTGTGAGGCTCTAGGGAACGATCCACTCTGTGCCTCTCTTCTATCTTCTGTGACTGTGGCAGTCCTTGGTGTTCCTTTTCCTACAGATGCATCACTCCATCTCTGCCTCTGTCTTCACATGGCTTCTGCACTATGTGTGTCTGTGACTCAGATACTCAAATCTCTCTCTCCTTTCTCTACTAAGGACACTGGTCATTGGATTTAGGGTCCAATCATCTAAAGTCAGGATGATTCCATCTAGAGATCTTTAGTTAAATTACATCTGCAGAGACCCTACTTGCAAATAAGTTCATAGTCACAGCTACCAGGGATTAGGCAGTTTGGGAGGACACAATTCAACCCACTACAGGAGTAGTGCCTATGTTAGGGAAGACTGTACTTGTTAATTAGGGTCATTTACTTAAGAAAGCTCAAAACAGATTTAACCTTAATGTGTCCAAGATATTCAGATATAAGAGGCACAAATGAAAAAAATAAACTCTGTTATGGAATTTTCACACTCCAAATTAGAGAATACCCCCCCAAAACAAAACAACTTCCCCACAATTCTGAAGTGGAAAATATTTCCACTTGTGACCTGATATTATAAAAGACATCACTGAGAACAGTCTTCCTCACTTGATAATATACTTTTTTCCTTTTTATCCTAAATCAGCTTACCTTTCACAAAAAACTACACACACACACACACACACACACACACACACACAGACGTAGACTTGTGGGATTCTTGTATTTTTATTTAAGATGGATAAGGTGACTACATAGAAAAAATATTTTTCCCCTCTTTGGTAAACCAGAGCATATGATATTACGTTCCACATAAATAGAAACTATAGGTGCAGGAAACAAAAAGGATCTCTCTGAAGCCAACACAATCCACAGGCTAAAGATTCCCTTGTTGGAACTAGTTACAACACCGCACAAACTAAGTCCCTTAATGGTGACTTCATAAATATGAGATTTTTCACATATTTATATGGTGTTTATGCAAATGGGTCCAAGTCATTTCTTAATTTTATCCAAGTAAGTTTATGCTGGTTTCAGGTTTTACTATAGATACTTTATCATATGCTAGAAATTATCACTCTAACATGAAATTTTAAAAGGTGAAGTGAAACTAAGTGGCGCAAGGGCTAGGACTGATATTGGTAAGACAGTATAAGCTGTGCATGGTAAATTGTATATGAAAAACAAGGAGAAAGTCTCAGAAAGTCGTGGATCAAGCCAGGAAGGGGTGAGCTGCTAAGTAAAATCAGGAGACGATGTGCAGGACCGACATTTCAACTTGTTATTTTAAAAAGCGAGATTATTTTACATTTCTTGATATAGATTTTAGTGCTGACCTGTTCCAGTGAAGAACTTCCAGGCAGAATTATGTCTTTCTGGGCGTATCTTTCAGTCTCCTCGCTGTAAGCAGAGGTGGCTTCACCGTCCTCTTTGTAGAGTCCAAGAATCTTACCAGAACTCACCAGCTCTTCAGAACCCAAAGTCTCCTCCACGATGCTCTCATCTGTTTACCCCAAGAAGATCACATGAATTCCACTCGCTCTTTGTCACTTTAACATAACGTGTGTCACTAAACACACAGTAATGTAACCACCTTTTTTCTTACATGGGATCAAGTTTCATTTTTTCATCATCAACAATTTAGCGAACTATTTATGCTTGATGTGCTGGGAAATCAGTAAAGCCCAGGTTTTAAGATTAAAAACTAACTACCTGCCAACAAACTTTGTCCATCCTGCCATATTCCCAAAGTGAGCAACGTACAGCTGTGCTTTAATGTCTTTTTCCCTCTTACCAAATACATCTTGAAGTGTAGATACTGTGCTTTTCCGTGCACTGGTATTACATGCTGTTTACTTCAACATCTTACCATGTACTTGCTGTTTTGCTGAAACCAGCTTGGGAGATGAATGGTTTTAGGAGAAGCCAGAGCTCTTGGGTTCATTTCCCGAGTTAGGATCCACGAGAACAGTTCCTGAGCTCTGTACACACAAAGGGACTTCAGTTGGCCTGCCTTGTTTATTTGCATAGAAATGCCAGCACTTATATAAATGGTAGTGTATTTCACTTCTCTCTCTAGCATCTGAAATCAGTATCATCTACAAAATGTATCTACTCATCTAGCTAGATGCATGCTGTAAATATAAAGTAATCCTCTCTCTTCCAGTCTCTAAAAAAATACTGGCAGGTAAAATATAGAATTTTCCATGCCTTCAATGTTAGGATTTTAACAAGAACCTTGACATTTTTAACCAATGGAAGAGGGCCTCTTTTTTGGAGGGAAATGCAGGGTGCAGTATACAGAGAACTGCTGGTCTTCCTTCTTTGCTCACTGTACACTGTATTGCCTTGTATACGTCTTTAAACTTTCTAAGTCTCGGTTATATCCTCCTCTATGAAATACATGGTGAAGTTCCTGACTATTCTATAAATGCCATAAAACTCTTGTGAGCTCATAAATGATACTGGAAGACCTATTAGATGCTACCTGTAAATGCTACCTGTGCAAACTGGTGGTTTCAAGGGCTCCAAGCTGCAACGAGTTGTCATATGGAAGGGACATGTTAGGCATACAAGTGCCTTATTCAATGTCTAGCACACACAAAAAAGGTATTCAATGTATATTTGCTGACTCAGATATTATACTAAAAATACAGAGGCCTGACTGATTTAAAATAACCATTTGTGATGCTTAATTTTATATATCAGCTTGGCTGGCAATGGTGTCCAGTTATTTGGTTAAAAACCATCTAGATGTTGCCATGAAGGTAATATTGTGATTATCATTTAAATCAGTAGACTTCAAGAAAAGCAGATTACTCTCCATAATGTGGGTGGGCCTCATGCAATCAGTTGAAAGCCTTAAGAGCAAAGACTGTTTCCCCAAACAGAAGGAATTTGGTCTCAAGACTGCAACAGAGAAAATCCAGTCTGAGTTCTTGGCCTACTGGCTTGCCCTGTGAACTTCAGTCTCAAGAATGCAACATTAACGCTTACCTGAGTTTCCATCCTGTTGCCCTGCAAAATTCAGCTCCTTCCTGAACTTCATATTACTCTTCCCTGAATCAGCCTGCCAGTCTGCCCTAAGGACTTCAGAGTTGCCAGCTCCCACAAAGATGAGAACCAAATTTTAAAATAGATCTCTCTCTCTTTCTATTGGTTTTATTGGATTCTGCTTCTCTGGAGAATCCTGCCTAATACATCATCTGAATTAGGATCCCTCAGAATGAGGGCTCAAGCTGGCTTGAGAAACAAATTTGCTTCATTCATAAAGACAAAAAGAAATAAAAAATTGGCTACACAAACTAATAGCAAAGAACTAAAGGGGTGGTGAATCTAGGTGGAAATAAAATTTTTAGGGGGTACTATTCTGTAAATGGGGATCAAAAATGAGACCTAACCTTTAGGGCTGCTATGATGTTTAAATAAGTTAATATCTACCTTATTTAGAACAGTGCTTAGGACTATACCAGGTACCCAGTAGGCACTCAAGAAATGCTTAATTAATATTTTTATCATCAGTATCAATCGTCAGTATCTTCATCATTCTATGTATGTGCTTATCATCTCTGCTGATATAATAATTAATCATTTAATCCCCATAATTACTCCATCGTGGCAGGTATTATATGTCCATTTGGCAGAAATAGCAAGGAAAGGTTAAGAAATTGGCCCAAGGTCACACAGCAAATGGTGAAGTCTAAGCATAAATTTAATAGAAATAATAACCATAACTATTAGAAGACAACTATAATCAGGGCCTTCTCCTCATAAGTACCGTAAGGAGTTATTTGAATAAGTGAGAAAAAATGATTGAGAAAAACTAAACGCATACTGAGAAGAAAACTTAATAGAACTATTCCTTGTGAATTTGAAATCACGTATATACAGAAACTTGCACTTAATGTTTTGGTAAAAACTCCAGTGTGGTTCTGGCATGAATTTATATGTATTAAACTAAGAATTTGAAATTTACGTTTTAAAGGATTACCTTTAAGTTCCTAGATTAATACACATAAGAATTTCTTACCTAAGGAGCCTAACATTCACAAGTATGAATTCTCATGCTAAGACTCAAAACACTATACTGTCTTTTTTCACCTCAAAGAATTTGTTTACAACCTAAGAAACAGTCTTTAAAACGAATGGCATATAGCCTCATAAACTAGTGAATCCAAACATACCATATGACATGGTAGGATCCTGCAATAGCAGGTCTGTCAAATCATTTTTGCTGTTTAGGATTATAAATTCTATGTAATTATAGGAAATTGGGCCATAATTAATTCCTCCCCCCAACTTTAGCTGTATTAAATATTTGCAGCCATCAAAACTTTACATAGGTCATCAATTAATGGTTATAGTTAGAAAAACCAGGCTAGCATTTGCATGAAACCATCTCAATTAATTTACAACTGATGTTAATATAAAAGACTGGAAATAATTGGTCTCTTACCTTGGGATCCTCCTTGCCCATTCTCATGAAACAGCTCTGTTAATCGATCATAGAGAATTCTATTATCAACTTGTAGGGGTGCTAAAAGAACATATTTATGATAACTTTCTCATCAGTTAATTTGTAGACATGCAATGTAATTACAAAGAAATTATTGATCATCATGGTTATTTAGTTATTTTATAGGTCATAGACTCAAATTCTGTTCAATATGCTGTCTTGCTCTAAAAGAAGCAAACAAAAAAACCCTTTTGTATATCAGTGATAATTGGAACAATGATTTTAAAATGCATGTTGCAGGGCACTTGTAATGTGATACTTCTCCAATAAAAAGGATCTCATATTCAATGGATTATGACATCTACTACACAAGAATCATTTCAGAATAAGCCATTATAGTTTCTCAAACCGTAGAATATATAAGCATCTGATCAAAATGAATGACGTTTTGCACTAGCTACTCTCGATATATCATATTTTTTACTACAGAAACAACAAATTTAGGTGTTCTTAGACTCTTTTATATATGCCACTGCAGTATAATAGCGAATGTGAGAACTACTGTACCCTTTTACAAGGGTAAAGCAACAAGGTCACGTCACTACCAAAAAAAATAATAATCATCGTAAGAACATGGTTCTAGAAGAGGGTCTGAAGGGTCATTATGTGGATGTCCTACCATTGGACAGAGCCGAACATAAATTATGCCAAGTTGGATGACCACTCCAGTCATACAATTAGAACACAGATACAAACACACATACATCAAACATGTTCTCATCCCATACATACATACATACATCAGACATGTTCCTCCCACGGAGAGGCTGATACAATGTCTGGAGCCCCACGGTGAAATATGATCTTCTGGGTTGCAAATGACTCTAAGTAATATTTGTCACTGTCACTATCTCAGTAACCTCTGTAAACCCTAGAGTGCTTTGTAAACTACCAAACATGCATGGTGGTAGGCCCACAAGGAGCAATTTTAAATTGTTATCTTACAACCACACCTAGAATCGACATTAGAGAAGAGGAAACCATCATATCACTGCACCTCTGTGGTTCAGAACTTAGATGGTGGTTCCATGTCTTCAATGAAAGAATTCAATAGTCTCTGGGTATGGAAATCTCACATGTTGGATGAATTTTATTGAAGAGTGCTCATTTTAAACTTGAAGAGCTGAGATGGCATTTGTAAAGTGATAATGCTCCTCATATGCATAACACAGGCCTTAGAATGGCAGCAAACTGCTTAGAGCAGCATCAAATGAAAGCCAAGTCCTGCTTCTCTATCTGACCAGCTTCCTGTCCTTGATCAAAAATTATCTTCGCTGCCTGTCATGTTGTTAGTGGTTAAAACTTACCATTTAAATTGTAAGCTGCAAAATCTAAATGGAACTGCATGTGTGATCTTTGTCACCTCATTTTCATGAATGGAAAAGAATATTCTGACACAAAAATTACATACTTAATTCTAGCTCACCCTCTCCGCTGACCTCCATCCCATACTGCCTTGGGTATATTTCCTCATCCGTCAGTGGGTCAAAGTAATTTCTGCTGTATTCATTTCCTGTGGAAAGTACATGAAGTAAGGGTCAGTGATTATTAGAAGCACATGAACCAAAATGTTAATTCTGAAATCGACACCAGCACAGAAGGGCCATTTTAGCTACTTTATAAGCTTAATTTTTTACAAGTCTTCCAGGCTTCCCTTTTTTTGTAATTATCATCTTGCAAAAGGTCAGAAAAGGTAATTCAAGAAACAAGTTCATGCTATCTGTCTGTTGCTAAAAAAATTAATGGGAAAATTTTCAAATGTAGACTTTAGAAGAATAATTTGAAATTTTAATCAAATTGTTTCTAGGATATACTCAAGAAATGGACACCATTGGATTATAATGATGTTTAGAGTTCACTGATGACTCTATTTACCCACTTGTATATAATTCACAAAGTATATCATGTCATTGTGTCCAGAATTCCAGTCAACTTAATAACATCGTAATTATGAGAAACTATAGCAAAATTTCCACAACTGCTAGCTGAGTAAAAAGAAAGGAGAAAGAGAGAGGGAGGAGGGAGGGACGAAGGAATAAAAGAAAGAAGAAAGGGAGGGAGGGAGGAAGGGAGGGAAGGAAGGAAGGAAAGTATAAGGGGCCTGTTCACAGGTCTCTTTTGTTATGTCAACTTAAGTAACATGAAGGAAAGGTACAAATGATTTAGCCAGAAATTTTATCCAAGACATCAACAATCTCAACGACACAAACCCGAAATTCTCACTTCACATTTCCCACTTACTTTTGTCCTTATGTCGATAACAAAACTGTAGCATCAAATATGACTTTGTAATAGAGGAAAAAGATCTGTTATCAGTTTTCCAAATCTAGTTTCATACTTCCTGCAGACTGAAATGTATAGCAGTCTGTTGCTAGTAATTTGCATTCGGTAAAACGTCACCTACTCTGACGATACCTCAAGTTGCCTCAAACATTGCAAAAGAAATAAAGCTTCGTCAACTGAAAACAACAATAATTTTGAAAGTATTGCCCACAGGGAAGGCTTAATATTGTGCATACCAAGTATACTGTGATATCCCATAATATATTTGTTTTAAGATCAAAAATAATCCCAACAGCAGCTCCAAGGCTAAATGGAATTTTGATACGAACCTAGGCTTAAAATTTATATTTCTGGACCGGCACGTTTTTGCTGTCAGTCTCTGTTCTATCAATGTAGTAAGAACTGAAAATCTGCTTTCCCTTGAGATCTCAGTAAAGAAAAAATAAATGTTTCATTTTTGTTACTTTATCTGTCAACAACTACTAGGCTGATATGAATCTTGGCAGTGTGTAATCAAAGTCTTATGTACTGCAATAACACAGTAATTCTACCCCATTCACAGTAATTGTTGTTTTTTTCCCCTTTAACACAAAGCACTGTGATACTCTAAGTATACCCTTTCATATGCTGGCAAAATAATTCACCTTTACTAAAGCAAAAATAGTGGTGTATTCCTTATTACATTGCCATGGCAGCATCAGTCAACTATTGGTGCCCATATCCTGGAAACTCCTCCGATCCAATACAAAACTCCAATCCTCTGTCTACTGAAATGACTTATTAATAAACAATGGCAAGTGAATCAAGTCCTTGGAGAATAAACAAAGTTAAGTCATTTTTAACCACAGGTCTGGAGAAGCTGATCTGGCTTGTAGGTTCTCAGACCATTTTCATCCCTGTTGTCAGTTGAGAAATGAGGGTCTTGCCCAGCTGAGTGAGAGGAGGCCTGCACACCAGGAGCCTTCCAGACGCTACCTCCCCTCAGGGCTTGAGGCTTCCCCACTCAGCTGGAAGATGGGCCCCTTCAAGGTCTCCACACGGTTTCAAAATCTATGCAAAGTGTGCCTTCTACATTCAGTGTGGGTTGAGACACACATGTAAGTTATAAACGCCACTCCTGGAGTGATTTATTTTCTACTTTGCATTCTGGGATATGGCAAATAGCATTTTACAAGTAAAGAATTATAAGGGATCTTGAGCATAGAGACAATCCACTGATTCTCTTTAAAAATCCTCAAATTCTATAACATTATTTATTTAGAGGATTCATATATTTTTACAATGTATTTGTATTTTACACTACATTTTACAGTTCCTTGTGTATCGTTTTACATATGCATTATTATACTTGCTGTCGTCTGTCTCTTACTCTAAAATACAAGCTCCATGAGGGTAAAAACATAATCTCTGTGCCTAGAATTGTGCCTGGCACACAGAGGTACTCATACTATTATCTGAATTCGTTCGTTAGATAAGCCTTTTTTGGAAACTTTTTGTAATACCCAACTCCTTCCATTGTCTAGATGTTGTTTCTTGATTAAAATGAGCCAAAACTTATCATCTTTTTATCACACTTTATTCCTCTTGTCCTTTCTGTTCCCCATCCCCTCTCTCTTTTCCTTCAAGACCCCCTTCCCTTTGTTGTTTCATTGAGTCCTTCTAGGAACCAAACACTATGTCTGGATTTTAAGAACAAACAGAAAACAGTGGCTCTGCCTTCAGAGCACAGTGCACTGACAGGACAGGGAAGCTAATGTTCAGTCCAGCGTGATTTAATATCGTGTAAGGGACAGAGGTCTGTTGGAGTGTGTGGTAGGAGCATCTAGCCTATACTGGGGACTTCCTGGAGAAATAGATCACCTGAAGTAAGTTTAAAATGTGATTAGGAATTAGCCATATCAGAAATGAAGGGGCAAGGAATTTTTATTGGAAGGAGAAGCATAGGCAAAGGAAAAAAGACACAAAAGCATAAAGACATGGGAAGCATGTTTTGTTAGTGGATGCTCCCAAATTATTCTCTGCCTCCCAAAGTTACAATATAATAAAGTAAGTAATGGAATCCAAACTTCCTCAGTGGTCCCAGAGTTCAGTTTTTAACTGATGTTTTTGCTCAAATTATTATTAAGTCGTACAGGGTCACTTTATGCGGATATGATGTTTCAGATCCATTCAATTATTTAAGGTATATTTACTGAGTGCTTATTATGTGAATATATCAGCAAAACAAACATTCAAAAACCCCTCCCCTCACAGAGCTTACATTCTGTGAGTGGAAGAATAAAAGCAAACAAATATGTATATTTTACAGTTTATGAAATGGTACTACATGATGTGGGGGAAAAACAGAGCCAGATAAAGATGATTTGGCATCCCAGGGAGGGGTGGGGCTGCATCTCTTGCATATAACTTTGTTTCAAACTAGGAATGACATGCAGGATTAAATCACTATGTTCTCACACTACTGAGATAGTGAAGTGGTAATATTTATAATTTATTATTTATAACATTACTATTTTGCCAATTTCTTGCTATAACATAAATCAGCTCATGAATCAAATAAGAACCTACTATTATTAAATACTAAAATAATTCTTCCTTTCTATTGTTGTATCTTGCCTTGATGGGCCAATAACCTGAATATAGTAGGCAGAGTTTAAGATGGGAGAGCACGTGGAACCTATGAGCAGTTTGGAAGCTACAGACTTCATCTTAACAATAGTTCCTTTGCTCGTGTTTCGTTGGATAGGTCAAGGTTTAATAAAGTGAGATGGTTTTAGGAGAGGGTATATATTACCAGAAGGTAGGTTACTAATAGGATAAATTCCTAAAAGTGCCCTAGTCATTCAGAATATGCTTTTGGATATATCTAAAATCATCTCACAGGAAAATTAACAGACCCACTGAGAAATTCAAAGTAGGGCATTTAGCAACATACATACAACAGGTTTTAATATGGCCGACATTTAACTGCCCGTTACATTCAGATGAATAATCTGACAATTGCATATATACATATATCTATGGTTCTACATTGAAGCAACTGGGCATGATACACAAATTAATAAATCAGTAAATTGGTCTTTATACTCTCAATACTCTACTTTTGTTTGTAACTTCCTCGAATTAGCTGTACAATGTTTAGAATCACCCTCAGTTAGTGCATTTCTTGGGCTATTTTTACTGATTGGGGGAGGAAGGCGCATGTACTTGCCTCTGCCCTTCCACAGATATCAGGTTTTCCTACCCTTTAACTCAGAGCAGCATGGAATGTAATCAGGGCTTTTACTTAAATTACACCGTACGTGAACTTTGGTCAGGAAATTCTCCAGTGTGCACCCATGCAGTTCCTTGGGGGCTATAATAGTGAGAATGAAATTGCCCACCAGAGGAAGGTTAGTGTGAATCATGGGAAGCATCTTTACTCAACGAGGCAACCACTTCCTTTCAAATCAGCCCCATTAGCTCCAGAGAGAGAAGCTCTGAATGCCTCTATCCATTTTTGGATTGGTTTATTGGTTCCATTCTTGTCCTCTTCCTGTGACTCCACCTGCTTCAACTCAGCTTTTTATCACCAATCATCATGTTTTTTATAATATTCTGTAAGTTAAATAAACACAAGGCCTGCATGTAAACTAAATAACTAAACAAGTTACATTCTACGATTACAGCCGTGCACGAAAATTTTACAAACTAGGATATTCTCCTGAACGTTATTCCTTTTAAAGGCTTGAAGCCTAGAGATCTATAATTAAATTTGATTCCCATGAACTTTATAAATAAATTTGGGAAAACTTTCTACTTTCCCCACTTTGAAAATCTAATACCAAGGTCTCAGGTTTAAATGTTCAGGCACTTTATATATGTGTATGAAACAGAAATGTGAAAATCAAGAGGTTGTAATAAATGGCAAGTTAGTGGGAATTATGTCAAACTCAAACATGCTCTATCTTACTAAATCCACTCAAATACTATTTTTATAAGATTGATTTACAAACATTTTTTAAATTAATGGCAACAAAAGATACAAGGCTACTTTTTAGTATGACAATTAACTTAAACCAAAGAATGATTACCGAGGGAGACGCAAGAGGGAAGACATATGGGAACATATGTATATGTATAACTGATTCACTTTGTTATAAAGCAGAAACTAACACACAATTGTAAAGCAATTATACCCCAATAAAGATGTTTAAAAAAATAAAAAAAAAAAAAGAATGATTACCTTAA